GCGGTGTGGGGACATGGGGACAGCCGTGTCCTGCCCCTTCGTGGGGTCCCTGCCCTGTAGATCATTGTGGGGTCATGGGGACAACCCTGTCCTGCCCTCCACCCCGGGGTCCCTGACCTCCATAGGGTCTCTGCCCCATAGATCAGTGCGGGGACATGGGGACAGCCCTGTCCTGCCCCCCTTCCTGGGGTCCCTGCCCTCCCTGGGTTCCCTGTCTCACAGATCAGTGCGGGGACATGGGGACAGCCCTGTCCTGTCCCCCTCCCCCAGGTCCCTACCCCACAGATAGTGGGGGCACAGCCCTGTCCCTCCCACCGGGTGTCCCTGCCCCATAGCGCAGTGTGTGGACAGCCCTGCTTCTACTCAGAAGCTGGGAGATGGCCCCTGCTTTTGGGGTCACCTCCCTTGTCACTGCACCATGGCACAACTGGGTGCCCACCGCCATCCCCATGGGGTGCCCATGGCCGTCCCCATGGGGTGCCCAGCTGGACTGGCAGGATCCGGCCCTGGCCCCCTTTACTCCATGTCCCCCAGGCTGATCAGGCTGGGGTTGGAGGAGAGGAGCACATCCCGGCTGAGATCGGGGTGCCTGGTTTGCGCTGGGGTGTCCCTACCCCCCTGGGGCCACCTCAGCCGCTCACCCCGGTCCCTGTGTTCCCCAAGGGAAGGTGCCAGCCAGCAGCATCCTGGCCAGCGCTCCCTCGGACAAAAACCTGGATGCTTGGCGGGTGAGTGGGGTCATGGGGTGACAAGCCACCCCACTTGGTGGCCATGGAGGTGGGAGGCATGTTGGGGTGCCCCTTGCCACGATTTTGGGGCACCCTTTCCAACCGACGCAGGGCTTTGGCTCATCCTTCCCAGGTCTGGGTGAAATCCAGGCAGAGCCTTGGTGGCTTTGCGGCCAGAGCGGGTCCCCAAGCCATGTCCCTGCATGTGAACGTGCCATGTCCATGGGGGTGCTGGAGGTGGGGGGTGTCAGGCTGTGACACCTCTCCCTGCCCGCGGGCAGGAGTCGGGCTGCCGGACCACGCACTGTAACCTGGAGGTGCTGCAGGAGAGCACCCTGGTCTTCCTGGCCACCAAACCCCACATCCTGCCGGGCGTCCTGCAGGAGATCCGTCCTGCTGTGGGACCCCATCACGTCATCGTCTCGCTGGGCGCAGGGGTGGTCTCCCTGGCGGCTGGCGTCCCCCTCCAGACACTGCAGAGGGTGAGCCTCCTCCTCCCTGTCTTCCTCCTCCTCTTCCTCCTTCTCTTCCTCCTCCTCCTCCTGTTTCTACCCAGGGCCCACGGAGAAGGACACACCACATCCCCAGGTCCTTCCCCATGGACCACGCTTCTCCGCCAGCCCCAATGGGTGATACCCGCCGGTGGCTCAGGGCACCCTTGGGTGCTGCCCGGAGCTGGCACCTCTCTCCCATCCCCATCTCTCCCCAGCTTCTCCCCGCCGGGACCAAGGTGCTGCGGCTCATGCCCAACCTGCCGTGCGTGGTGCAGGCAGGGGCAATGGTCTTCGCCCGAGGCAGCGGTGCCGGAGATGGGGAAGCTGCCCTACTGAAGAGCCTGCTGTCCTCCTGCGGGCTCTGCGAGGAGGTCCCCGAATCCTACATCAACATCCACACTGGCCTCAGCGGCAGTGGGGTGGCCTACGTAAGCACCCGTGCTCAGTGGGAACCGGCTCACCGGTGGGACATGGGAGAAATCCCACCCATGTGAGGTTGGGGTTTGACGTCCCCCCTTTTGCCAGCTCACCCCTGATGGTCTTCTCCCCCAGGTCTACCTGTTTGCCGAAGCCTTGGCTGAGGGAGCGGTGAAGATGGGTATGCCGGGTGGCTTAGCCAGCAGGATCGCGGCTCAGACGCTGTTGGTGAGTCGGTGC